TCGTCCTTGGTTATCAAACTGACATATCGAGACATGGGCTCGCATCGGCCTGGTGTCGATACAGGTATCTCGATCTTGAAATCGGATGTTATTTCGCATGGCGTAGGAATGCACTCCTCAATACGAGGGGGCACTACCGGTTTACTCTTGGTCGGTCGAGAAGATGAAGAAGCTTTTTCTTTTTGGGGAACCGATTTAGAGGTCTTAGCCATTATAATGCGGAAATTCAAGAAAATAGAGAATGTTGATAATGAAGTAAGGACTAATAGAAGAGAAGAGAGAATTCGGAGAAATTGAAAGAGCTACTGAGGCTTTGAGAACAATATGAGAATAAAGTTTGCAAGATTGTGAAGTTTATCTATTTATAGAGGTCATTCAAGCATACTGGGGAAGCCAAAAAGCCGACTGTCAGTCGCCTCCAATCAATGACTTTGGGAACCACACGAAAAGCAGCCTTTTAGTCACTTCAACCGTTGACGTCACGAGATTGGCATCAGGATCGAGGCGTCAAAGATCAATTCGTTTTTTACCGATCTATTTCGAGTTCGAGCATAGTGTTCACTCGACTACTAAGCCCAAGGGCTACCCGAGTTTGAGAAATTTCTCACTCGGGGACTACAAAAAAGCCTAAGGGCTAACTTTATTTCAAGTTCGAGCAAGTACTTGCTCGACTACTAAGCCCAAGGGCTACCCGAGTTTGAAGGAAGTTCTCACTCGATGATCACCTACGAAGCCTAAGGGCTAACCTTATTTCAAATTCGAGACCTTGCTCTCACTTAACTCGGACTCAGGAATCCCGATGTTCCGAGTTCACATCAAATCGATTTAAGCTCAGCTCGAGGATTAACAAGAGCCTTAAGGGGTATTATATTGATCGATTAAAAACCTAAGGGTTTATTATGTCCTGAGTCCGGTATTTGGACTAGCCATTAAAGTTATACAATCAAATTTTTCACAAGTAAAGACAGAATGTAATTCAACACGAGCCAAAAGGAAGACAAAGGGATCCTTTTATATTTTCAAGAGATGGTTACAAAATATAACTACAACACCCACGAAGGGTACTTACACAGGAACAAAGAAGCAAAAAACAAAAGCCAAGAACCTAATCTACTTTTAAGGCCACGTCCTCGAGAGCATCATTTTCGAGAGCCTCCTTCCCGGGGACCCCATTTTGACCTTTGGAAATGTCTTTGTGCCCGAAGAGATTTGGGGCACAAAGCCCTCGATAAATGTAACTATATTTCCAGCAGCGGGGATTGAGCATTCTATTGAAATTATGGGCCATAATCCGTTAAAAAAGATTAGCAAAAGAAAAAGACCAGAAGGGAAGACAAGAAGATGTAGCTTCGCCTTCTATCACAAGAAAAACCAAACCGGTTGCAAGATGCACGAGCCACGATCCAAGAATGTTCATCCTTGGGACGTTGTGCCGATGAGGGATGCAAAAGTTAGTAGATGATAGTGCCACCTCATTCCATGGAAAGCAAAAGGAATGAAGTGCCACACCGGGTTGAAGTTAAGAGAGATGAGCAGCAGGATAAAGTTCGCATATTTCCTGATGCGGGAAGGATTCTGCGCCCTTCTCTCGTTGTTTCGAATCGAAGCTTTGAAAAGGGGAGCCTTGGCGTGACTGGTAAAGTTGTTGTCATGCGACCTTATGATCGCAGGGTCGGACCATAGAAACAGATGATTAGAGAAAGAAGTAAAGAAAAGAAAGAATCAGAGTGAACGAAGATGAAATGCGTGCAGTTTTTTATTCAACAGAGTAGCCTCATATTTATAGAAAGGCGACGGCAGTTCGGCGATGCTAGTGGCCGACCAACACTGGCACGCATTTGATGTTTTAGGGAAGAGCGCTGACGTGACATTTCCGGTCACTTCAAGCACCTACGTCACAGGCATGACGTCATCATGAGAAGCTCGGGAAAATCGAGGTGCAAATCGTTTCTTATCATCTTATTTTAAGAAACGCGGGGACTATCTGTATACAGTCAAAATCATATGCCCCCGATTTATAAGCTCAAGGTTCCGCCCTAGGCCCAAGTCCGGGAGAGGTCAAGTTCGAAACCGGTGGACCAGACTCGAGCTCGAAGACAGAATGCAATGCCCGGAGACAGGAGTTCGAGGAATACCGAGGCCAAGTGTGCTCGACCTCGAAATAGTACAGTTATTGATTTGTAACAAAATGAGCTAGATTCCTGCCACGTCCCCAAGATCATGGAAATCCCGGAATAAGATTGTACGATTCCGTACTAGGCGGTTAGACAGTTGTAACAAGAATGTTCCCTACTGTAAATAGAAATATTCCTTATTTAGGGTTCCCCTATTATAAAAAGGGGACCGCAATCCTTTGTAACATCATCTTATCACTGAGAAAAGAATATACTCTCTACCTTTTTCGCCTGCTTTTCATCATCATTGTCCTTTAGCTCTATTATTCTTACTTTGCTTTCATTATTTAAATGTTCTTATAAGACCAAGCCTACCTCGAGGTCCCTGGGCTCGAGGTCACTACTGTTGAGACATTGGTTTGATTCACTTTTCCCCTTGGTTCCTACTTCATACTTCTTGATTATTAATTTGTATTGAATTAAATCACGTATCTTTAAAACCACAAATCAAATTTAATTGTTACTCGTATTTTCGAGGTAAACACCGTACTGTTCTCGAGCCAATGTTTTCTTCCTCTTTTTCTTATATTTTATTTATTCGCTTAACTTCTTTAAAATTCACAAATAATTATTTTTCAAGTTTCAATTGAAAAAGAACTATCGTCATGGAGTTTCAGCTTGTACAAGTAAAATTTCACAATACTGTCATGAAATATCACTTGAGTAAAGGTTGAAACTCCGGGAATTGTGGCTATTTTTCGAAGATAAGGCCGAAAAATTAACGCTATTTCTACTTCTTTTTTTTTTTTTGTTTCTGATTTGTGCTTGTCCACACTAAGATATTTCATACAGTATAATTGCATATTTCATTCAAGTTGGTCTGTGATGTTACAAACTTGTTTGTAGAAAATTTCCTTTTTTTGGTATAAACCATTTAGTAGGCGTTTGGACATGAATTCCATTTTTTTTTTTCTAATTTGGAATTGAAAATTTGAATTGAAGATGAAGTTGTGTTTGGTTATAATTTTTGCAACATATTTGGATGTCTTCTTTTTCAAAATCATGAAACATGATTTATATCCCACAACTTGTAAAAAATATCTAAATCACCCCAATTTGATTATCCTATTTGAAATAAACAATCAAAATGCTATTGTTTAACTGTTATCATATTCTGCTTTACTGCAATACACAGAAGATGCAAAATTAATATCACATTTTCTAATTCTACTAACACACAGAGAAGGTGTAAAAGCAGCCACATATTTCTCATAACAATATAATCAAACTTCCAGTAGGCAGAGTTCAAGTATCAACTAAGACTGATGTTCCACCATCAGTCGCCAAAGATGAAAAACTGATAGGGTCATTTTATAAATTTTAAAAATATAGGGTAAATTTATAAAACTAAAAACTAGCGAATTCCCATTTCAATTGAAAAAGTGGTGAGAACCAATTTTACAAATTTGAAAATAGAATTTCAAGTGAAAAAGGAAAAATTGATAAGAATGGGATAACCAAACATTGTTCTGGAAAAAAAATTGAAAAGAAAGGAAAAATTTTGTATGTCCAAACGGGCTCTTAGTATCCGGAACCTCTTAGTATTCTGGGTAAATTTCTCTACTTTTTTGTAGGGTAAAAGAAAAAAATAGCATTTGGGTCATAGAATATTAATAAACTGCTACAGACCAAAAACTTAATCGAATTATTCCATTTTTGTATGTACTCTAATAAATAATAGTTAATATGCCAATTGATCTACTTGAGCAGCACACGTATTTTAAAAATTAAGTATATGTATATAGTATACTGCATATATGTTAAAAATATATGAAATATATATTCATCGATACTAAATATATAATAATTAATATATCATTGATTAATAAGATATTAGCATACTGGTATAATATTCTGTATTTGAGTATATTAATATATTATATTTATTTGAAATATGCAATATAGGTTTTTACATATAGTAATGGTATATCAAATATACTATAATCATATACACAACTAGAAGAGAGAGAACCGGAAAAATTTTGAAAAAGAAAAAGGAGCATATATGTAGTTGGGTGAGAGAATCTCTGGAGAGATATATAAGGATACAAGAGAATCTCAAGAGAGATATTAGGAATATAAATTATTGTATGTTTTAAAATAAGTTGTATGATATGTAATTTTTTAAAATTAATTGTAACTTATTTAAATAAGTATTTAATAGATTGTATTCTGGGTAAATTTCTTAACCGTTAACGCAACAAATCTAAATTCTCTGTAGCGTAAGACCCTTTAAAGGGGAAGCATCCACCACTAGGGGTTCTCCATTTTAGAACTTGAACTCGAAAGTTGTGGTTAAGAGTAAAAAAGATCTTATCCATCCCACCATAACTCTTGAGGATGTATACAAAAATTTAAAGAAACACAAACATACAGAGATTAGACTAGTATTTTTTATGTTCTGGTATGTGCTTACCATTGTATTCTTTAACATACTAACATCAAGTATTTCTTTGGTACTGCTCTTTCATGATCTCTCCATCTCACTAAGAAATGATAAATTGAGTAGAAGTAAGTTAAATAGAGTTTGGAATTTAATTCGCTTTCCTCTTAATGGTTTGGATGTGAACAACATTTCCTGGTAAACAAAAGATCACAGTTCTAATTGAAGTGTTACAGAATCAAGATTATATCAAGTAGACCTAGGACCACATGAGCTTTATATGGAGTAGTTGGTTTCTTTTCATTATTTACTTTGTGAAAGATAATCTATTAGTTACTTAATTTGACCCTCTTCTTTATTTTAAATTATAAGAAAAAACTGGTGGTTACATGATTACCTCCACTTAAGAGAATACAATACAAAAGCCACGAGACACAGCAAGAGAAAGAAAAAAAAGGACAAGATTAAAATATCGGGCCGTTTAGTTAGTTGTCCGAGATTAGTTATTCGGGATTGTTATCCCACCCTCCCACAGGGATAAATACAACACTACAATCCAGGAATAACTAATCCTAAGATTAGTTATACCGCGATTTTATCCCAACCAAGCGTGGGATAAACTCATCCCAAATTTTATCTCGGGATTAATTATCTCTTATCCCTCGTACCAAACGAGCCCCACTTTATCGCTAGTATATCTACTCAACACGACTATGGATTAGTACCGGATGATTAAACCAAGACAAAAAAAGTGGAAGGTACTTTCTTCCTAGCTACATACACTTGTAGACACGAGTTTAACTAGCCAAAGTAGTTGGTTCACAGCCATCATGGACACAAGCTAAGACATCCTTATAGTCTCTTGAGATTGTAAAAGAATCATACACCTTACCATCTCTGCTCTTCTTGTACTCAAAGAGAAGGGAAGATTGGTTAAATGCTGTAAGTTTGACAAATCCCCAGTCATAATCTTTGAACACACTCCATGTGGTGTTAATGGTTGTGAATTTATTCAAATGGCTTCCTCCTCCACCAACAACAACATGAATTGTTCCGTTCACTACGCCCGAGTAGTGCGATGTCTCCTTGTTCACACATTGATTCTGTTCATACGACAATTTGACAACAATAAAATGAATGATTGTTCAAACAAATAAGTGAAATAACAGTATCATTTCATTACAGCAAGTACGACCCAACCCCAAGCAAGTTGGGGTTGGCTATAAGAATCCTCAATGTACATATTGCTCTTAATTCAAGCCTGCCTCCTTCAAATATCATTTCACCAAGTAAAATAACATCATTTCACAATGGCTGCAGTTTAAACCCTTTTCTTAGGGTTGAAGCGTTGTCCATGTTTAGTAGGAATAGGTTCGGTCATCCAGAGGTATATAATTCTGCCTGGACCCGGTATCATAAGTCATATCATTTCTACTTTTTCGGGAGAACTAGTTTTCGGGTATCTAGGCATGGTTTATGCCCATACTTACTACACATGAAATAGTAAGAATCATGAAAACAATTACAACTACGTGAATTTAAGCATCAACTATACACTAAGGACACCTAGGAATGCCACAAGGAGAAAAGAGAAAGATGAAACTCTAGTATATCTAGTGAACAGAAGAGACCAAAATGAGTAGCGAATTTCAGTGAGAACTTGAATTAAGTTAGCAATAAGAAAAAAAAATCAAGTAGAGTCAAAAATTGTAAAAATTGTGGAAAAGGGTGAAATTACCATGTCTAGAAATATAGAGCATACCTGGTAAATTTGGCAAACTCTTTCATAGTTATGGACGTGCCCATAAAATGCCATATCAACCTTATATTTCTGCCAGAGTTTCTGCAAGTGCTCCCTTCCCATGGGCTCTTCAAATGAGCCTTCCTTAGCATACCAATCATTAGAAGAATAACCAAGAACACGATGAGCAGCAAATATTAACCAAGGTTGTTTATGTCTATTGGCTGATGCAAAGCATTTCTCAATGAACTTGTACTGTTCAGATCCCTCTCTCCAATCATGCTCAGTGTCTCCTATGCAGAAGTGAAACATGCCATAATCTGCTGCGTACCTGCCAAAAAGATACACACTCATGCTAAAATCAACATGTTCATTAAGGTAAACTGCAGTTCACAAGGAAAAAAAAGGGAAATCACTGTGCAAAACACATGAACACTATATTATTGGACCGAGATGAACTTAAACGGAGTGACATAGATAGTGAGGATTCATATAGTCGATCCCAACTTGCTTGGGACTGAGGTATAGTAGTTCTTGTAGTGTGACAGAAACACTGAGACGTAACATGACACACAAGTTCAAATGAAAGCAGCATTCTTCCCGAGGACTGGAGCAGAATTATTGTAGGATTTTAACTTGTAAACTAAATAGGTCAATTGGGCAGGATGACCCTCTATAGACTTAATATTCAAAGTTAAAGTATGTTGGAAAACTAATTCAAAGTTGTAGTAGGAAACCTTAGTTATTTAGGATTTGATTTATTTAATTCATGTCGAAATAGGATTTGCAGTTAGAATAAATATAAGAATATGCTTTCCTGTTTCTAGTTGAAATAGGTTTCATACCATTATAAATAGGGGTATTGATAGTTTATTTAATGTGTGGAGGAAATAAAGAAGTGTAGAGATCATTCACAGATTTATAAATAAAATATTTTCCTTCAAAGTAGTAATGATGCTAGTGAGGGCAGTCCATCTGGTATCCTGTTCTGGTGCCAACTGATACAATCCCCATTGCAAAGTTTAGGTGATTTTGAAGCCAAAAAAAAAAAAAAAAAAGAACCTCATGAAGATTCTCCACTGCCAACGGTGTATCAGATTTAGAAGTGAAGTCACCAATAAATGGAGAAGATAATGATGCTTCTTAGCTATACAAAGGTATGTTATGGACCTCTTGTGGTTGCTGTCGACAAACATAGAAAAGTGCCAAGATCTATCGGAGCTAAAAGGACAAGTATAGTTGCACTATTGAAGTGCATGTTCCAGTAAAGAAAGGAGAAAATCAAGAATATGAATATAGAAAACATTTCAGAAAACTACAATTAAGTGAAATCATGTCAACCTAGTTCAAAACCATATTAATTTCTAATCCACATGCAAAAAATGCAGTTTTAAATTTCTAATGTTCAATTATTAATCACAAAATATTCATTTAAAACATTTCTTTAACAATTAAATGTATGGGTTTTCCAGTCTTTATTCACTATCTAGTGGCATCCATGTCAAGACAGAACCCATGGGAAGGGGTGTACGCTTTATAGCAATGGTGACTACTGAAGCATCATTTAAGTCTGGTGAAGAGGTTAGCCTGCATTTTACTTAACTTCAGGGACCTAAGCTTATCCCAAGCAAAGTCTTAACAGCATTGACATCTAGTTATTTCGCATTATGCACCCAAGAAGCTCCCCTAAGGGTCCCCTACACATATGATAAACATGAAAGATGAATATTAAAGTTCAAAACTGTATTAGTATCTATCATTTGAAATTTTTAAAGTTGCTTTTTTCCCCTACCCAATGCTCTTATAATCTTTCCACATATTATTATCACTTGCTTACATGTGTGTGTGTTTTCAAATTGATCTTAAGTTGTCACACTTTGCTACAATTAAGCACATGAATCACATACCAGAACTTAGCTCTGTTTTCTGCTGGAACATAGTATAATGTTTCAGCTGGTACACCACATTCTCCACCTGAGTCGCGACCATTGTATATTGATCCACTGTTCTCCCAAGTTCTTTCATGATTACCACTGCAAAACAAATTCTCTTCGCAGACAGTTAGAAGAACAATAGCTATATCTTCCAAAAAAAGAACGAACATGTAAAGCAAGAAATATGTGAAATACAATATCAAATAATCAAAAGCGGACTATTCACAAGCACAAAGACATTTTTGATGATGAACAGACCTTGCAATCATGAAGGGCACTTTAGATGTTATTGGTTCCACCTGTGCTGTAAATTGGTCCCATTGTGAGATATAGCCATTCGCATAGGGGAGATCTCCAATAAGGAAAACTATGTCAATGTTATCTAGGTCCTTGATAAGGGTGTCTGTTGTCATAAGTGAGCCGGGCTGATAATTAGCATATTCGTTTGAACCATCACGCTCTTGCTGAAACAACAAAAAGAATTAAATTTTTTTTTTTTTATCAATTCAGTGGACACAAAGCATTTTAAAGGTTTTCAATTGACTGATCATAAGCTAAGAACAAAGATCTTGGCAATTAGACTTAGATGCTAATTCAACAACAACAACAACAACAAGCCCATTAATTTCCCACAAGTGGGGTATGGGGAGGGTAAGATGTACGCAGCCTTACCCCTACCTTGGAAGGGCAGATAGGCTGTTTCCGATAGATCCTCGGCTGGAGAACAGATGAAGATGCTAATTCAAGAATTGGAATATAAAGTTAGATGCTACTGAAAGAATCCTATCTAAGAAAATGAAAGTTCTCAGTTACAATGGTCCATTCACTCTAAGGTGTAAGCTTCAGCTAGAGCTATGGTCCATGTAGCATACAGTGGCATCATATATGAAGTTTGCACCTTCGTTTGCTCCTCTTCATTTTCGTGTTTCAACCTATATATATTTTTCTTTCGTCTTTTGTTTTACAAGAGCAATTTATTTCTCATAGTAGCCACACTTTTCAAATTTTGGATGGTACATTAATTTTAATGGTTCGATTTGTGCACACATCTCATCCTCCCATAAAATCAGACATGGTACAGTTATATGTTTTATTTACCATAACTGGAAACTCACAGTGATGAAATTTTTATGCATCATGTTTCTGTTTCATATATGGGAAAACTACATTCTTCAAGGTTTAGAAAGAAAGATAAAAAAATTGTGTTAGAAGAACAGGTAATAATAGCGAATTACCTTCCCCATGTCTCCAAATATCACAATGCGTTGCTGTGACTCTTGTCCTGGAAATGGGGCAGATTTAAATGAATATTGCTTGCTCCAAACAATTGAACCATTGCTTAACAAGTGACCCAACTTGTACGTGTACCTGAAATTCACGAATAGAAAAGGGTGTACATGTCAATGATGAAGTGACTTGCTGCTAGAGAAATGGACCACCAGAAAAACTTACACCACATTTGGCCACAAATCCTTCAGGAAACTTGTATGTATGAATCCAGGATCACGCCAGCCCACAGTTCTAGCAGGTGGTCCTACAAATGTGTTCCTAACATTATTCAGTATGTAAATGCAAAATGAATACATAATACTAAGACAACAGCTCTTGAATCATTTCAACTATTCTCTCCATTATGCCTTCTAATTATTTTGTGGAGGGGAAACCTGATTTATTTGATCCCTTGGAAAGTGAAAGGAAATACTTGTATGGTACAGTAACATGCTTTATCAAAAAGTGTCATATCAAACTTGATCACCTAGGATTTAAAGATAGGTGCAGAGTTAGTTCTAGTACTAAATACAAGCAAGGAATAGGGTGTTCAACTGTAACTTGTGGAAATAAGAGCATACCGGAGGTAAATGAATAAGCTAGAATTTGAGAAGAATCATTGGGGGATCTATTACACATATGTGCCTGATAGAGTGGCTAAGGTTTGTGGAAACCTTTGACCCTCTGTTAACATGGAAAAAATGGCATCATCTTTTGTAAACGGTAACCTTAAACAACCAGACTAGGATCCAAGATACCACTGCACTATCTACTCCTTTGTAACAATGGGTGTGAACTTAGTCTAAACATATAAACATAAAAAAAATATGCTCTGCCTATGAGCCCCCACCCCACCAAGAAAGAACATTGCGTGCATGCACATGACAGTTGCATAAAATCGTTATCGCTGATCAGAACAGTTGTTGTATAGAAGTTCTCATACCACACATGCTGTTCCTATGAAATGTCAGTGTCCCTGCTGGGGAGCGTTGTTGCAATTGGCCCTTCCAACCCCATTCGACGAATGGAACAGCCTCATCAATGTTGTAACCACTTGTCCAAGTAACAGTCATCTAGGAGAAACCCATAAGTTAAGCGCGTGGTTTGATACGACCGCTGGATAGGATGCTTAACAATTTAGCATGAATTCTCCAATTTAAGGAACCAATGAATCAACCCCCTTGATACACTACTACATTTAATCTTGGTACTGAAGCCGTTATAACATAGGCTAACAAAGCACAGACGTATCTTAAGGAAAAAAGAACAACGCTGAAAATAATCATAGATGCATAACTTACTATATCCCATGACTTCCCAAGAGCAAGACGCGGATAAAGAGGTGCTTTCGGATTGGCAAATGCGATGTCATTTGAGATGGCTATCAACTTAGGCTGTAACATACATGAATCTATTAGTGCATATCCAAGTTTCATAAAAAGTCCTTTTTAAAACATAGGACAAAGAGACACCATAGTCCACAATGATCATTGGCATGAAGTAAAATATCTTACAAACCTCAAGTACTTGCACCAACTTGGAGAAGCTGCAGTAATTAATTTAGACAAATAAAGTTTGACTTTCACTGCAATGTCCAATTTATAGTCATGCTCGATTTGTTCAAGCTACTTCGGAATTAAAAATTTGGTTTTCTAAAAGGAACAAACCAGTTTAACTTCTATATCTTGACAGTGAAAATTTTTAGACACTATCAGGTCATTTAAAAGATAATTTCAAGTAACTACCATAAAAAATGGAATTAATAACCTGAAAAATAAGACAGGTAACAACTTTCAGTAGCAGATTAAATTGTACTGATAGTGTACCACTTCAATCTATTTGTCTGTTCATATAAGTTAAATCCCGAAACTAATAAGGGAAAATACCTTGCTCAGCTACAACTTTCGGTTATTTATAAAGGTTAAAGTTAATATACAAAAGCTTCAAGTAAAGTCACAACATATTTCCATCATATTCAGTAGTGTTTTCCTGTTTTTGAAACAAATACCAAGAGAGCACTATTACATTATTCAGAAATTCAAATGACAACACATACAATAACAAAATCAATTTCAGTAAATACAATATCACTCATCATAATTTGCAGAATATTGAAATATACTCACATTTGACAAACCCCCAGAGAATAAGGCAAATGAGAAATCCCCACGCTGGTTAATTAGCCGGAAATTCAGTGAAGTCTTCCCTGTCTTTGTGTACTTGTCATTGCTGTAATTTGCAAATTTGAACTGAAAAAGAATAATGAAAATCAAATAGACCTACATAAAAACTTTTTTTGTTGTTGCCGAGACAGAAAATATTTCAAGTAACCTATCCATTAAAAGGATGCCCTTGTCGCATAATCTATCATTTTATAAAATATTTGACAGGACACATAATTTATGATGTATACATATTAATGATATTAAAAGAAAAAATTAAAAGTGAAGTTGATAAGTCATGTGTAAGTATAAACTTTGGTGTTGTGAAAATTGTATAAATATAAAATAGTACTCCCTCCGGTTCACAATAAGTGTCCAATTTACTTTTTCATTTTGGTTCAAAATAAGTGTCTAGTTATGTAATCAAGAAAGAATTCAATTAGTTTTTACAAAATAACCCCTATGTACATATCCCTAAAAAGTGTTCTTACTCCTCACATTAAATATTTAATTAGGGGTAGTTTAGTCATAGTAGGTATTTTTGTATAGAATTTAGTATTTCCTTAATGGGCATGCTAAAAGTAAATTGGACACTTATTGTGAACCGGAGGGAGTATCAAACATTTCGGAATGTAACAAAATAAGAAGTGTTGTATAAATTGCAAGAGTTTGACTAATATATATACATAATACCTATATTAACTTTTATATATTATTTTAACTATGTCTATTTTCCCTCCAAGATAATTTTTGGAAAACAAAAGAATCTACATTAATTTGAGACTAGGGATTAACAATGTATCCAGACTCTTAGGAAGTCCATCAACATGGAACTCCAAGTTGTTACACATACCTTTAAGGGGGCAGTGCAGATAAATGGAGCTCCAGATTGTTGTTCTTTGCTGGTTTGTGGGGGACAAATGGATTCGCTGCAATTGAATCAAAAAAATAAGCTAGAGTAAACTTACCCACCAAAGCAAATTGGTAGAAAACCACTATGACTAACCGGTAGATTAGATATTTAAGTTACGTGAAAAGTAAGTATCAACACTGTTAATTCTTTTGGATGGATTGGAAAAGCAAGTGCGTGATAGATAATTCCCAAAAGGCTAGCAAAACTCAAAACAAGTAAATTGATTAAGCTAAGAAGTAAAAGACAAATATAGAACAGCTACGGCCAACTGCGCTACTTCCTGCAATCTGCATGGACCGAACAGCTGGAGGGGGCAATGACACATTCTCCACTTCATCTTGTCTAAGATGCTCCACTGTATGGAGAAAAAAAAAATCCATTGTATCATGAACTGCAAGTTAAGCTAAGCTCTATCATGTTTAATGGTGGTGAACAAAGTTCGTTGTTATATATGGTGGATAAATCAAGATAATAGATTCATCTCATATGGCAAACCATTTCAAGATCAAGAATTCTTTTTTTTTAAGTTCAAAATTCATTGGATTTTGTTCGGATCCCACCTTTCTTCCAAAAAAGGGAAAAGAAGGATAAGGATCCTCTTCGGGGGATCTCTCATGTTTCTGTTTGGTCCCCTTCAATTCAGAAACAGTTTCTAAGGCCTGGTGGGATCTATACTCATCCAAGGCAGCTCGGGTTATAGCTTCGAGAAAAACTTCAGCACCTCAAGGTTAAGTTGAAAGATGATTGAAATTTGAACACCTTTGGCGGGCTTGAGAACGAGAGATCGGAGATTCTAGGTATAACGCAAACTTTTTAGACAAAAATGCCGAGAACAGAAACCTAAGATAGATGAGATGATTTTGAAAGTTGGTCTTCATTTGGAAATGGAAGAAATAGCCAAATTTGAGGAAATTTCTAGGAGACAGAAGTCAAGATGCCTTTGGATACACCACGAAGATTAAACATACTAACTTTTTTACAAGATGGCTATGCACACAAGACAATCACATTGAAAAGTTGGAGGCAAATGGCACTATCTTAGAAGAGGAGGAACAAATCTGCAACGAGATTCTGAGGCTTATCAAGGACTCTATGCTGATGATTGCATAGTGGAGACCTTCCAGGAATGTGGATGCAATGGGGATAAAGCACCCAGCCCAGATGGACTTACCATGGAATTCTACAAAACATGTTGGGACTTGGGCCATTATAAAAAAGGATCTTACCAATGCAATAACCACTTACGTTCTCATGTAGTTTTGTGCAAAGTCTAAATGCATCATCTATTGCTCTTATTCCATGGAAAGATGGTGCTAAGGAGTTGAAGGATTACAGGCCGATTAGTTAAATCAGAAGCTTTTACGAGGTGCTGTCCAAACTTCTTACGAATAGGCTCAACACTGCAATGACAAAGCTGGTTTCATTGGCTTTCGCAAGTGGCAGAAAGATTGTAGAAGCATCAGTAATCGCAAATAAGTGCCTTGACTCCAGACTAAGACAAAGGAAAGCAGGAATTATGTGCAAATTAGATATAGAGAAGGCTTTCGATAATGTGCATTGGACATCCCTTACTGATATGCTGAAATCCATGGGCTTTGACGATAAATGGATAAAGTGGATCTCTTTTTGCATGTCAATAGTGAAGTTTATCATTTGTTATAAATGGTTTCCAGAAAGGTTTCTTTGCAACACTAAAAGGGTTTAATTGGGTCTCCCCTTTCCGTTTTATACTGGTTATGGAGGGCTTGAGAATAATGATGGCAACAACAGAGACTTATGGCCGCATTAAAGGTTTTAACCCTAGTGTGAGAAATCAAGGGAACTTGCATCTGACACATCTTCTCTATGCGGATAATTCTCTTATTCAAGAAAACAAATACTTTATCGCCAAATGATTCTCTAGTTCTTTGAACTTGTGTCTAGCCTCCGTAAAGAGTGTTCTATATCCTGTGAATGAGGTGCCCAACATAGAGGAGATTGGTGGAAGACTAATGTTATTAATAATGTCATTACTTGCTATAAGTGCTTCTTCCATCTTCTTTAGCCAAGGGTCTATCGGAAACAGTTTCTCTGCCCTTCCAGGGTGAGGGTAGGGGTAAGGCTGCGTACTTCCTACCCTCCCCAGACCTCACTCGTGGGATTACACTAGGTTGTTGTTGTTGTTGTTTGCCTGCTTCAGTGGCTCACAAATTGGACAAAATGCAAAAGGAAGTCTTGTGGCAAGAAAATAGGGAGAACAAGACCTTTGACTTTAGTAAAATATGTTTTCTTCTCTATGCAGGTCTTTGAAATGATAATACACAATATTTTAGACCAAAAAAGAAGATAAAATTGCACTATCTTCTTTTCCAATCTATATTTTGGCATTACTGTAAACTTCCCTGAACATTTATTGAGTCAACCTAATATTATCTTCGGATGGAGCAAGAACAGTTCTTTTGATCGACGTACTCTATTTTTAATTTCAATTATTTGTATAATCCCAAGTAAAGATAAATCTTTGGAAGTACAAGCTTTATTTTTCCTCTAATAAAATTAATAATTTGTTTGTTTATTAAAATTCTTTTCTGTTAAATAGTTATCAGATTTTAAAGGTTATCAAATTTTATTGGCACAATGGAATTCCTTTCAACTCAATACTTCCATGGCAATTGGAAATGGTACAAAAGCGAGATTTTGGATAGACCCATGGCTGGGCCAATTGTCCCACTAAGATGGCGAGAAAACTGACTTCCGAGAGAGCTGCTTCCGCCTCGGTAATTACCTAACGAGAGAGAGCCGAGGCAAAAGTAGTCCTTTACTTTACGCGAGGAAATGCCAGGCATACTAGATTTAGAAAGTCCGATCGAAAAACAAGAAAAAAGGATTGCGAAGGCTTGAATGGATGGCTTCCATGGCCAGGACTTGATCCTGCACAATTCAGACCATACCATCTAGTATCTGTTTATTTTACTTAATGCAACAGTCGATCACAAATGGGAATAATCATACGCTATCATAGGCGCTTCTAATTTCTTTGGAGATTCTCAATGCAGCATGTGCTGAAATCCACCTAGCTCTCCAAAGGGAATCCAACTCTCTAAGACTATGAGGCCTTAATTTCAGATTAGAATTCAGAAAAGGGTAGGATATATCATATTAAATGATTGGAAAATAGACAGTCTATGCCCGCTTCTACTGCAACTGTACAACTCCCCATCCTTAATGCCAAGACCTATTATTCTCTATCCTGGAAATGGGATGCCAAAGGAAGCTCTCTGTTAAGTCATGCTACCAGAAGCTAAAACCGCTGCCTACGGACTACTGGCCCTGGAAATGTACTTGGCTATCATCTAAATTTTTTACAGCATTTTCTTGCAGCTAATCTTCATTATAGTACTTTTAACAATTAAAAAGGGCATAAAAGCAGATAGTATGCTGAATCGCGAAGTAGAGACACAGAGCATTACAACTTTTCTTAGCTCAATTCCATGCGGCAAAACGTAATACTCAGAAATTAAATATAGAAAATGGAGAAATGGACCTTTGAGAAACCGGGCTTGGGAATTCCTTGAAGGACCACCAGCATTAAACGACATCACTGGACGGCCAGCATCAACAAAATAACCAATCGCGGAGTTCACTCCAAACAGTATCGCCCTCAGCAAACTCTCGCCCAATTCCATTAACGGCGACGACCGGAGCAACACCGACGACGGATTTTGGTTTAACACTAATGTGGGCGTTGCCAAAATAGGTGTAAATTTTTCATTGGTTTAAATGCACATTTTGCAAAAACACTTGAGTCCGAGTTGTTTGTGTATTTCAGTCAAAAAAGGTTACCTAGTGAAATTTAAGAAAGAATTCTGGGGGAATCGTGATTTATTGGTTAGCTGCCTCAACTTTCACTTTTTTAGTTGAGTCTGATTTTCTGCCTTGTGATTTTCTCTATCATTTCCTATCTCTATGTATAATTAAAGAAAATTAAATATGTAAAACAATAACAAGGATAATAACCCACGCGTGGGGTTCGGGGGAAAGTAGTGTGTATGCATACCTTACCTTTATCATGGGAGGGCACTGAGGCTCTTTCTGATAAACCCTCGACTAAAGTGACAACATATGATAACAACAACAAGATATTAAGAAAATCTAAGTGAAAGAAGGCAAACAAACAATAGGTAGTACCAGCAATCCAAGAATATAGAAAATTAGAGATATTATGCTAACACTAATGCTACCGATCTGAGAAAGAAAAAGGAAACGCTCAACTGCCTACTAATCTTCCACCCTAATTCTCGACCTTCACACTCTCCTATCAAGGGTCATGTCCTCGGTAAGCTCCAGTTGTGGCATGTCTTGCCTCATCACCTCCCCCAGTACTTCTTTGGCCTACCTCTACCTCTCATCATACCCACCAAGATCAACCTCTCACACCTCCCAACAAGGGCATATGTGCTTCTCTTCTTCACATGCCCGAACCATCTCAGTCTCGCATCCCGCATCTTATCCTCCACGAGGGCCATTGCCACCTTTTTCCGAATAACCTGATTCTTAATTTTATCTAACCCGCACATTCATCTCAACGTCCTCATTTTACCTACTTTCATCTTCTGAATATGAGAGTTCTTGACCGGCCAACACTTTGCCCCATAGCCTATCTAACCGCCGCTTTGTAGAACTTACCTTTAAGTTTTAGTGGTACATTTCTTATTACACAAGACACTAGTAAGCGAGCCTCCATTTCATCTACTCTGCTCCAATATGATGTGTGATATCCTCATCATCTCCTATTTCTCTGTATTACTCGACCCAAGATACTTGAAATTATCTCTTGGGAATGACCTATCAAGCCTCATATCCATGTCCGCTTCTTGGGTTACGTCGTTGAACTTACACTCAAAGAAAATTAAATATCTAAACGTATGAATTATATGAATTTATCGATCAATTTTAAAAGTAGTGGAGTTTCAAAGGGCTTGAGACATTTACTTGAACTTTGCAGGTGAAAATACTCCAACCCAATCATCATTTGTAGGCTCTTCATTCTGAAGGTTTACTGTGACCCATTCGACATCTTCACCCTATCGTACCAAAATTTTACATGTTATCCAATGACAAAAATGAAAAAATAAGCGGCAGAGAAAAAGAGACGAAACTATAGAATATTTTTGTTATGGTAAAAAGTGAAAGGAAAAGAACATAAAGCAACGAAATTTATTTATTTTTCCTATGAAGAAACAAAGGGAAATCATTATTGTATTTCATTCTTTTCTCTATTTTTCACCTTTTATCTTTTCCCTTCCTTTCTCTCTTTGTGCATATATGCGTAAGAACATTATCAAGACTCCAGAGTCACACACACACACGGTTATATTACAGAGGCGGAGCTAGGATTTCAAGATTATGGGTTGGGGATTCTAATCGTTTTAAGTTATGGGGTTTTAAATTAATAATTTATACATATTCAATGGATTTTTCGTGACAAATATAGGGTTTGAACCAAAAAGCTACTTGGTTCGGCCGAACCTGTTGACGGCACTCTAGCTCTGCCATATATAGCAGAGGCACGCTGTCCCATACTTTTGCCGAATATCTAGTGGGCAGAAGAAGAAAACAAGAAGATGTTGAGATGCAGAATATCAGTGTATAAATATTACCTTAGAGCCAAGAAGAGTAGGTCCATCAACTATAATGGAGGCAGATTGACGAAGAGCAACAACAGTTTTGTGGATTTGAATTCTTGATAATGGCTGTTCCCCTTGGATTTGGATATGATCAAGTTCATGTTTTCCCAAACTAATATATTCTTGAACAGAAACAACACTATTTATCAAAGTCAACACAACACCTAAAACACAAAATAACAAGTATATTTGGCTCCTCATTGTTTTTTCTCTCCCTCCTCTTTCTTTTGTTAGAGAAGGCGAGTCTGGATTTAATTAGTGTGTGAAATATTTGGATCTTATAATAAGGGATTAGCTTATGTATCTCTATATTTACACTATCTTAATAATTATTTACTACATTTGTACAAGAAGGGTTTAATTTATATACTAAGATTACCTTTTGTGGTAAGATTTGAATGATTTGGTAGTTTAAAATATTTATGTTGTCGGTGTATTTTAAGTTAAACTCATATATAAGTAAAAAAAGGAGCGGAAATATTGGGTCACAACAATATTTAAACAGCTTAATTTAATCAACTATAATAAATTATTACTTTAATTATTTTTTAAGTTATTATATCAGATTTTAATATAATTATAAAGAGATACTTGTTATAAATCAAGGTAATCCAATAATATAAATATCAATGCACAAATCCTAAGGCCCCGATTTAAACACCTAACAACACACGACGTCACATGCTAAGCTGCAGGTGACGGCCCCAAATTTTATTGGAGTTTGCATATTTTTAAGTGTGTTTTTTGGTTTCTCATCTTGCGTCCAATATTTGTATTGAGATTAGTTAAATTTGAATTTGCTAGGAAAAATTTTACATTAAAAAATATATCGTTCTCTGAAAAAGATAACTTTATATTCAGGACTCGAACCGTCGAAGCTGAAGCTTCTAAATAATATTATATAGAATAAAATGAAAATGGAATTTCTAATTTATGTGATGGTGAGAACTTTTGACAGTATAGAATTTTATTTCGTGACTATTTCTTCGCTACTATGAAAATCGAACCGAGGTCTGCACTGTGGCAGGATACTATTCTACCACTAGATTATTGGTGCATTTTGGTTCAAGACTTTCTTTTATTTTATTAATACCCTTTAATTGCATTTTCATGTGAAATAACCGACTGATTTTGGTCCCTTTTTTTGAATATTAATTTTATTTTATTCTAAATAAAAAACTGATTAAAGTTGAGCTGTTTCTTGAAAAATAAATTTTGCGGAACGTAAAAATAGTTTCCCGCATTTTTGTGCCAAAAAAACCGATCGAAATTGGTCGGTTTTGTAAAAAAAGATATTAAAACCAACCGATTTCAGTCAGTTTTTTCAGCCGATTTTTTGTGCGACCTATTTCGGTCGATCGCGATCGATTTTGGCCAAATTTCTAGTACTGATAGTTTAAAATCATGATGACTGTTAACTGCGAAAAATGAGTTAAAATTGATGAACGTTTGTTCTAGGGTTTACTATGCTTCAGAGAGAAAAGAGAGATTTCATTCAATCTGTAACTTAGAAAAAAAAATCGATCTCTATCAGACCTATTAGGCCTCGTTTATGTGACCCGACCCACCTATACAAAGCCTCCAGTGATATAATTACAGAGGAAAAAATAGGCCTGGTCAAATACAAATAAAAAATGTTCTAACATGTGGGCCTAACTAATCCGGACTGGGATCAATAGTTCCAACACCCCTTTTCAAGTTGGAGGGTGACAAAACCGCCAACTTGGAGAGAAAGTCATGATGAGCAGCACCAACCAATGATTTGGTGAAGATATCAGCCAATTGAGTTGAGGTAAAAGTGTTGAGCAATTGAATAACACCCTCAGCAAGTTTTGGTTCTGACCAAGTGGCAATCCAACTCAATGTGCTTTGTCTGCTCATAAGAATAAGGGTTCTTGGCAATGAATTGCAGCTTGGCTATCACAAAATAAAGGAATAGCAGAGGAGCAACTGATACCCAAATCCAAAAGCAATCTATGCAGCCAAGTAACTTCACAGACAACCTTGCTCATAAACCTGTACTGAGCCTCATCAGAAGACATGGACACCACAGGTTGCTTCTTAGACTTCCAGCCCACAAGACTACCACCCAACAACACACAAAACCCTGTGATACACCTCTTACTATATGAGTATGCAGTCCAATCATTATCATAGAAAGCAACAATAGGAAAACCAGAAACATTATTGAAGAAAATGCCAAACCCACCAGTACCCTTCAAATACTTCAACAAGTGCAAACCAACCTCCAAATGAGGCACGCATGGGGATGGCATGAACTGAGAAAGGTGATGCATAACAAAGGAGATATCAGGCCTTGTGTGAGTGAGAAAATTCAGTTTTCTAACCAAGGATCTGTACACCTTAGGTTTGGGAAGAGGCACACCCTCCTTGGCCTTAACCTTCACCAACAGAGGAAAAGGACAGACCTCATGTGTGATATCTGAGCAGTGGAACTCAAGAAGGAGGTCATGAATAAACTTTTTTTGATGCAAAAGAACCCCAAGTGCTGAGTATAGCACTTCTATGCCCAAAATGTAACTGAGAGAGCCCAAGTCCTTGATTTTAAGCATATGATGAAGAAAATATTGAAGGGAAGAAATTTCATCACTCTCAGTCCTACTTAAGATAATATCATCCACATAATAGCAAGTACCATAGTAGAATCCCTAGAAACTTAGTGAACAAGGAATAATCATTGAGAGAATGATGACAGCCTCTGGAGAGAGGGCTTGGGAAAGTTTAGTATAGCACTGTCTGGAAGCCAACCTAAGCCCATAAAGGGATTTGTGCAGTCTACATACTAATTGCCCAGAAGTGAACGATGAGGGAATAAAGTAACTAGGAGGCAACTTCATAAAGAGCCCCTTGTCAAGGTCACCATGAAAGAAGGCATTGTTGATATCAAGTTGGAATATAGGCCAATGTTTCTTAACAACAACTGCAACCAGTGTTTTGATGGTGGATTTTTACCACATAATAAATGGTCTCATGGAAATCAATACCCTCAATTTGAGTATCTTCCCTTACAACTAGTTGAGCCTTTGTAACGACCTGGCCGGTCGTTTTGAGTATTTTAGCCTCGTTCCCCTATTTATTGCCTCCTTTATGTTATATTTATGTGACTTGCCGGGGTGTTTGGTTTTTGTTTTGGGTGAGTTTCGGAGTAAAATGGGACACTTAGTCCTTGAGTTTGAGGCTTAAGTTGAAACAGTTGACCGGAGTTTGACTTTTAAGTAGATGACTCCGGAATGGATTTTGTCAGTTCTGATAGCTCCATATGGTTATTTTGGACTTGGGAGCATGTCCAAATATTGATTTGGAGTCTGTAGGTCATTCCGGCTTGAATTGGCAAAAGTTAGAAAATTGAAGGTTTGGAAGGTTGAGAAGTTTGACCGGGAGTTGACTTTATTGATATCGGATTCGAATTCTAATTCTGGAAGTTGGAATATGTTTGTGGTGTCATTTATGACTTGTGTGAAAAATTTGAGGTCAATCAGAGTTGGTTTGGTATGAATCGGCATTAGTTTCGGAAGACGGATATTCATAATTTCAATAGGTTTGAAATGGGTTGTGATTCATAGAATCAATATTGTGTTATGTGATATTAGGCCCCGAGTAGGTCCGTTATGGGTTTTTGAACTTGTTGGTATATTCGCACGGGGTCCCGAGGGTCTCGGGGGTGAATCGGATTGAAATCGGATCATTTTGGACTTGGTTGAAATGCTGAAGCTACTGAGATTCTAGTGCAATCGCACCTGCACACTTTGGGCCACAGGTGCAGCACTGCATAAGTGGCCTATGAGCCGCAAAAGTGAAGCTTGGTCTAGCTTGGGATCACAGGTGCGGTTAGTTATCCGCAAAAGCGGACGCGCAAAAGCGTCTGGCCTTTCGTAGAAGCGCAAACGCAGATGCGTTTAGGTGGCCTGCAGGTGCGAGATTTCAGGGGCATAAGTGAGGGCCACACTTGCGATGGAAATTCCGCAGGCGTGGAGCCGCAAATGCGGTTAAGGGCTCGCAGAGGTGAAAATCACTGGGCAGAAATAGTGAGTTCGAGGGTTTTGCATTCATTCTTCATCTTTGACCTAGAGAGCTCGGTTTTTGTTGTTTTTTCGATGGGATTCTCAAGGAAATCATCAATGTAAGTGACTCTAACTCGAATTCTGCTATTATACATGAATCTATCATTACTTTTATCATTTAATTAGTGATTTGAGTTGGAAAATTTGGGAAAAATTTGTGAAACTTCATAGGCAAAATTTTGGTAATTTAAAAGGCGATTTGAGATCGGATTTGAGTAACTTTTGTATGGTTGGACTCTTTATCGAATGAGTGTTTGAATTTTGTAAGTTTGGTCGCGTTCCGTGACACGAGCCCGAGGTTGACATTTTGAGTTGACTTTCTATTTTTCTTTTATGATTGCAACTTTATTGTTCAGAATAGTTTTCTATGATTTGTATTTATGGTATAAAGTTGTTTTGACTAGCTTCGAGCCATTCGAAGTTGGATAAACGCGAAAAAGGCGAACTAGTGGATTGAGTTAGCGTGTTTTGAGGTAAGTATCTTGCCTAACTTTGAGTGGGGGATTTACCCCTTAGGATGGTGTTGTTTTTGTGTTAATTGTGGTACGTGAAGGCCGTGTACACAAGGTGACAAGTGGGTTGTAACACCCCGTACATTCGGGCTAGGTGTGAATATTAAATGGGTATTAATTTGATATTTTAGACATATGAAATCCCATCGAGATGATTATGGGTAAAATAGTTGTTTCAAAATCAAGATGGAAAGTGAGGTGCATAAGATTTGACAAAATCGACTAAGTTTGCAGAAGGTCTGTCTTCCATCAGGTTTTAGTGAAAATATATAAGGAATTTGGGAAAACTCAAAGCATGCGATTTGTAGGACCTTGAAATAGCTTTCCAACGATATATTATGGAGCCCGAACGGATATGTGTGCAAAAAGTTATGCGGTTTTACAGAATAGTATCCGATATGCGCGCCCCTAGCGCGATCGCGCTAATTTTGAGGCAGTGTTACTGCCGTTTAGCGCGTTCAGTAGCGCGGGCAGGTCTCCAGGTGCACGGGCGCGCTCGTGGGGGGTCGTTTTAAAGCTATATTTCGTCCCCCACAGCCCCAAAACATAAAAACTTGCTCTAGAAAGGGGAACTCTCAAAAACCTAACTCCTTAAGGGTCCTTCCACCACCCAAGGTAAGTTCTAATGGTGATTCTAAGTTAATTTCAATTTTCCAACATCTTATTAACATGGGTAAACCCTCCATATCATTAGATATTCGATTGGGACATCGTTGTTGAGAGA